CAAAGTTGGATGTCTTCCCAAACGAGTACTTAGTTACTTTGAGCTTATGGCCGACCAGCTCGGTCCTGTCGAAAAGGCCTACTATACATCCATTGGCAAGGGAACAGGGCCAACTAAACAGACGGCACTTAGGCGAATAGGAAGAAAAATAAAAGAATGGCAAGTTTCGGGGTAATTTCTTGATATACCAATTGATCATTCTGACTATAAATTCTTATTACTTTTAGTATTAATGTAGCTAATGAACTTGGTTTTTCCTTTTTTAGCAACGACAAACCATCAGTAAAAGACCCGGAGGATGTATACGAGAGTAGTGTAGTGAAGAATCTTCGCCGATGGACATCAAAAACGATGCAAAGTGTACCTCGAAAAGAAAAGCAGACTATGGAAGGGACGGCCTTTATCTTGTTGGGGAAGATGAAAAAAGTAAAGCCTCTGATGCCAGAAAGTACACGGAGACCACAACCAAAACGGAAAGTTCAAGATTTCTTAGTGAATTTGAAGAGGATGAATTGATTGCAGAGGAGGAAAAAGGTGAGATGCTATCCATCAGTTTCATTGCCGTCATCGATATTATGTTCTTACGTAAGGCTTCAAAATAAGCACGAGGGAGTACGGCTCTTTTGAGTAATTTTCGGGTTGGGGTTGTGGGTCAGACCTAAGGTTATTTTTTATATATTCTTGCCTATACCATCTAAGGCTGAGTGAAAAGATTTAAGGCTAAATTATAAATTTTGGGTCCATACCATAGTTCACAAGTTGAAACTTCGGGGTTATAATAATTTCGGGTAATGGCTAGTTGGCACGTAACACTCGTCGGGTATCTTTTCGGGTGTACAAACTGGAGTTTTTCGGCGTTTCCTGGTATCTTTTAGGGTATCGAAGTAAGACTCATAACTGACTCATCATCAAACGCAAAATTTAACAGCCATTTTGTAATTTGTATGATGGTATTTCCTATGGGTTAACATTCTCCCGAAGTCATTTTCTATATGCTGAGTAGATTTCCTGAGTAGAGTTCTGAAGCTTTTTACGAGCATATCCAATATTTAATTTGTAGCCCCAATCCAACGACTCAACCCGCATTCATCGCACGCAGTGTTATTCATTTAAACGTGGTGTATTCTTGTCCCTATTCTTACAGTTGGAAAGGGAACAGAGAAGAAGGAAAAGAAGAAAAAGAAGAAAGATCAACTAGATGAGCTTATGGCAATGATGCCTACAATGACGGAGGCTGTAACCAAGGCGGCAAAGGCACATGAAAAAGCCGTTTCAAAGTGGCGAGGGTTGTCGATCTCTGACTCTGATTAGCGAGTTGGATGATACTATATATTGACGTGTTATTGTTCACAATAAAGTTTTTCTGTTCTCTTTGTTTGCCTGGCGTAATAGTGTCATTTTAAGTGTTCATATTTTCCTCACCATTTATTTCTAACATTAGAGTTCACGCACTAAACCCGTGAAACAAATACTAACTTTAAACAATATAAAACTATGATTAAACAAAAGAAAACAAAAGATTCGGTATGAATTAGTACTAATTAGCACTATCTATTGTTCACGGGTTTAGTGCGTGCACACTATCATCGATGATAATTTTATCATCCATGATATAATTTGCTAACTGGAGCGTTTATCCGCCAACGGGAGCTGCCTTGATCCCTTGGAACTTTAAACTGAGAAACCTTAGCATAATGCAATTGATCATGACATGTATTAGAATATAATAACTACGAACAACTAAACAAAATCGTGAAAGAACACAAGAAAATCATAATATTTTTATTATTGGTATTTTTCGTCGCTTGGGAAAATAAACCTTCAGAAGACACTAATTCCATAGTTTTCTTTCGTGCTTGTTTGTCTTTTCACTTTCTGTGCATGCATGTTCAGGGGATCCAGTAAAATCGTTCTACTGCGACGCGTGTATGCATAACAATAGATGACTTAAGTGGGTCAAAACCAGACATGAGACAAATGTCCTATACATAAAAGGTTTATTGTTGACCTTGTAAAACACCTTCCTAACAAAGGTCACTAATTGAATTCTATACACCGGATAATGAAAGGTTCTTCTTATTTATTCAATAATCTGGACTTGGACCTTTTGACTTTCAGCTGTTCACAAAACCAGTTTAGTAAGACTTGCGCAGAAAAGACTTCCTAAGGACACGTATATTTTTGGCGTCCTTCATTATAGTTGTTTACTCATAAATTTTTAGTTAAGAATTATTCCCTTATTGTTGATATAAGCTTTGGTTTACTTAGAATAGTATGTTTTGACTTAGAAACACAAGCGACCGTCATCGACGCTTTATTCAGTTAATCCTTTTCTAAAGACCCTTTTTAAGATTAAGGTTCTTAGGTCAATAAGGCCAATATTCCTGTAGCTCAGTACTTTCACTGGAAACCAGACTCAAACCAGTTTTCATAATTAATTCTACAATCATGCTAATTTCTTCTATAAATATAGGTTAGTTTCAGATAGTTAGTTAGAGAAAAGAGAAAGAGAGATAGAGATTCGTTAGTCGTGAAAAAGTCTTGTAACTACTAAGACTTGTGAGCGTCAATAAAGATCCCGTGGAAACTCTAACCATAGTCTCCCCGACTTCACGACAAATACGATAATTAATCACAGCTTTATGGTTGCTATTAGAGGAAATCAAATAAGACAACTTGAAATTTGGGGTTTTCCCTAAGCTGTAAGAGAGTGAATGCCTTACGTATTCGATAGTAATTGGTCGAAAACAAATCGTGAACTAGCTACAATGAATGACGTTTATGATCTGTTGGATCTCATTTTCACATTATATTAACCCTACTCGTCTTTCATGAGACTCATACAGTGCTGATACTACCAAACTGACGAGTTGAAATACTATACTCCACAATCAACATGAACACTTTTATCATTCTGGTAAGTACGATTTTTTTAGTATCATATAACGATTATTTGTGATTTATTTTATTTTATTTTATTTGTTTTTTGTAAAGTTTATTGGATGATTATTGAGTTTCAGTTGTTTTTTTTACCTTTTTAAGTAAGATTGGATCATCAATCAATCAGCTGAGTATCTGTTAGATATTTCTTTATTAGTTTTCAATTAAAAAATACAGAACCATTCAGCTAGGTAACATACAGCTATTTCCAAAAACGTTGGAGTGGCGAACAACGATAGGTAATAATAAGTGATTGGCGATATAAGTGATAGGAGATAGGTCTAGAAATAATGCAACTAGTTGGTTATACTAAACAAGTTTGAGATAAGATCTAACAAAACAGTTTGAAACATTACTTTCCCCCTCAAGTAAGAAAGATGCTTAACGCCGGTAAATGCGCTGGGACCCCTTTTTTAGATTCAAGCTTCTTACTTGGGTGATTAAATAGRCAGACACAATTTAAGAAGATGGTTCGCAATTTGTAGGCTCCATTCTTAAGAACTGACGCGTACCGTCTGAAAACTGGTCTCTCGTGCCGATCTGTTCGACCTTATAATGCAGGCGCMCTTATTCACCCCACAGTAAGTTTGATAACGACAGGGAGGGAGACTGCTTTAGACTACGCAGTCAAGGTTTTTTCTCAGTATTAGGTCTTTGTCTGTCTGTTATCTTTGTACTAGTTCTTATGACGCCACATGTACTTTGAGTACGTAACGCACGCTCCATTTGATAATGGGATACTTTTCCCTTGTTATACATCATAAGTCCTTAAAACGAGGAGTAAGGTTTTTTCCATTTGTCATTCCCTAGATCATCATTTTTTTGTTTAACGGTTGCACATGGCAAGCAATCAGGAGCCAGTATGACATGATTTTATATCTCATTTGCAATGCTCAAAATTATGGAATATTTATTCAACAGATACTACTTTTCGCATACAACCAAATAATGAACACAGAAGGAAGATCCAGAAGCAGAAGTTCGATGAATTCATTAAAAACATGCCTGGGAATGCCTCAGAGCAAGTCTGCCTCTAAACGAGCCATTCTCGACTACATCCGCCAGAACTACGCCATAGTCCCTCTTTCGCATTCAACAAGTTCCCAACAAATCAATGCCTCAAAAATACCAAGGAGAGTCCCAAGAACTCTAGTCCCTGGTAGATTTTGTCCCTACACGATAAAGAGCGAAGATGTCCTCAACAGAATACCGAGATTTTTAGTCTACGCATCTTGTACAGAGGAGATCTGTAACCCAGCATTATGCAGCCCTGTTATGTACAGTCATAAAGTTTTGATTCAGAAATGTGATGGGGTGTGGGAATGGAGCGAGAAGACCCTTCCTGTGGCTTTCGTTCGAGTGGTTTAGAAGCATCTATACCTCAGGGTCAAGTAATTCAAGTGGAGCTACAAGACAAGAAAACACAGTTGGTTTTTTTTTTTTTTTAATTAAATGGACTACATCGACGATGCGGCGGCCATCTTGAATCACAAGGCATTCTGGGTAATCCAGGGGACAAATATACAAAGCTTTGCTTTGTCACAATAACGGCGTCGATTGACATTTACGGTTCATAAAAAAGCAATTTGACAAGAGCTGAATTTGAAATAATGAACAGTTCCACAACTGTGGAAATTCTGAAATATCGAGGGGTCATCATTTCAGCATCATTGTTGTTGTTGTTGTTTTTGCCTTCTGAACGACCTATAATGCCTTGCGATTTAAGATGGCCGCCACATCGTCGATGTAGTCCATTAGGTGAAGGTTTTGTTGCATGTTATATTTTGCATGTTGAATTATATTATTTTAATATGTAAATAACGTCAGCACAGAAGAAATTATTCCGGGGACAAACGTGCGGACAGATTTATTGGGGAAAATTCATATCGCCGTGCGACCTTTCGCTGATGGTATTCACATCGCCCATAGTGCAATTCGGGCTCGACATGTAGCATCCAGCTGATCTGAGGGAAAATGTTAGCCAATCAGAATCGAGAAAATTTGCAAAACTAAGGTGTCACTTTTCCTYTTGAAATTATTGATTCCCAGGTGAACAAATTGGGGATTGGGGGGGGGGGGGGGGGGGGGGGGGAGCGTTGCTAATATTAAAGAGATTGATAACAGTAACACAATATCCAATGAGTTTTAAATATTTTTATTGCAATGGTGGACAGGTTTTCATTTTTCGCTGTTCAATTTTTCACAGGCTTCACGACACCTTCGTTTTGCAGTGATGTCATTTCTACGTCACATTTTCAGATCAGCAGCATGCAACAAAAACTTTACTAATCGTTGTTTGAAATAGAGTGTATAAATATAATGCATATATTAAAAAAATGTGTAAGCAAAATCCCAGACAAAATCATTGTACTTTGTAAATGAATCTCGTAAAAGAATCGCATTCGATAGCAATTCGTAAATTATATTTGTTACGATTTGTATATATTTGCATATAATAACTCTAGTGGAGTTTAAACTATATTATTACCTATACAAGGTTTAAATTAAACGTTCAAATAAAAGCGTATTGAAAACCTTCCGTGTCAAATGTCTTGGATTTTTGGTTCGAATGGTCTCATTGGCTAGATATGGCTAGCTTGATATTACTCAATTCAAAAAAGTTAATGAAAAAAATGAATGATGAAGAGAAGCATGGGTGGCGTGCAAGCTAAAGCGCCGCAACTCACCAATGCGACCCGGGTTCGTATGTGAGTTGAACTCTTTATTGGTTTTCTCTTGTGCTTCGAGGGTTTTTCCTCAGATTTCTCCGGTTTTACCTCTCTCCACAAAAATCTACTTCTAAATTCTAATTCGATCTACTGGCTGCCTTAACAATCAAGTTGCATTAAGCCGTCCATCCAGGAGTGGTAAACACATCATTAGAATACTTTGGAACGAGACTGAAGCGGCTGCGAGAGAGACTACTCATAGGAATCCGTGACAATATAGATCAGATATACCAATCAAACACATACCGACCATGCAACTTTACTGATACGGGTTCTGTTAGAAGTTCTGTACTAACTAACCACCAAAAAGAGAAAACAAGCAAACCGGGGGGTGGGAAGGGAAGGGGAGGGGGAAGGGAGG